TACACGGAAGGCGATGTTCTGGCGCGCCTGGACGCGCTGGAAAAGGACAAAAAGGAAGCGGCCGCAAGAGACGCAAAGGCCGAGGCGGATGCAAGGAAGGAGCGCGAACAGCGCGACATCGCCGACCGCCAGCAAGCCAGCGCTGAAAACTTCCAACTCGGACAAAGCGCCGACGATGCCCTTAGCGGACAGAGCCGGTTATTTGCCGAGAGCCCGCAACTTGGCTACGATGGAAACTATGACAAAGACCTCTTTGGGCACCCCATACCCGCCGGCCGTCGAAAAGATCGGCCAGCCGGACCCGAGCGCGACGGGTTATCAGGGGACGCACACGCCCCCGCCAACGTACAAGCCGACATTGCCGGCGCAGAGTTCTACGCAAACGCCTTCGTCGGATCCGAAACCAGCCGCGAACTAGGCGCTTCGGCCGTCGTCACGCCTACCCAGGCGGCACAGGCAACACAGTACCTCTACAAGTCGGCCGTCGAACGCTTCGACGCCATCGTGACCGACAAGGACGGCAAGCCGCTGGGCGTGGTCGGGGGCTTCAAGGGAGCGCTTGCACAAACCTCCGTCTACCCTGCCACGATCATGGGCGAGGCCATCCGCATTCCCGGCGCCGCGCACATCTGGTTTTCTCACAACCATCCCAGCGGAACGGCTGTCCTGTCGCGCGCAGACGAAAACCTCAACCGCACACTTACCGACGTTTTCAACGGCAGCGGCATCGAGCCCATGGGGCTGCTGGCGATAGCGGGCGACTCTTTTGCCTACGTCAACGCCATTGGGAGCGGTTCGGAGTGGACAGCCCGCCCCATTCCACCATCGAGCGACAAAATAACCGTGCCGGTGATGGAGCGCCAATTGACGCCTGGCGCGCTCAGTTCCCGCATTCACAGCCCTGCCGACGCAAGAACATTTGCAAAGCAGTTCTACGAGAAAAGCCGCAAGCCCGGCATTCTGCTTCTGGATTCCCAAATGGCAGTGGCGGCATGGGTGCCTATTCCGCCCAAGATGCGGGGTCCGCTTCGCAACACGGGCCAACTGGCCGCGCTGTATCGTGCCGTCAGTCAGGCAAACGCTGGTGCTGCAATACTGGCGCACGGGGGAGAGCTCGACACCGTCGGAGATTTCCCGGGCCGGATCACGGCCGGCAACAACGTCGCTGCAGCTCTGCAGAAGGTCGATGTTCGGGTAGTGGATTCGATCAATGTAAATTCGGGCGTATCCCGCGCAGAAACCGGTCAGGACATCGCTGCAGGTCCCTTGTACTCGCAGGCAAAGTCCCAGCCAGAGAAGGACTCAGCAACGGTAAATTCTGTGGAGAGCGTGAGACAGAAGTTGTTGGAGCGCTTTGGTCCCACTTTGTCGCGTATTGAGGCGCGGGGCTTGGTGAAGATCTGGGATGGCGCCCAGCAATTCAACGACACCGCGCAGCGCTCCGAGAAGATCGAGGGCAAGGCACAAGGCTTGTGGGATGGCACGACCGCCCACCTGTTCGCAGATGCCATAGAGCCGGGCAGCGAGATAGCCGTTTTGCTGCATGAAGTTGGGGAGCACGCGAGCATGCAGAAAATGCTCGGCCCTCAGAAGTATCGGCAACTGGTGGACCGCGCCCGCGCTTTGGTTCATGCCGACGACCCTACAGCGCTGGAGGCAGTCTCGCGCATTCCTGAAGACACGCGGCCCGAGTATCTCGATTCGGAGCTGCTGGCGTACATGATCGAGACGGTTGCGGCAAAAGACGCCAAAGCCTCCCCCGGCGCACGCAAGTGGCTGGCCGACATTCTCGCCGCGATCCGCGCGTGGTGGTCCACCACGGGGCTATCAAGCAAGCTGCAGGAGCGCTACGGCATCAAGATGGACCTTACCCCTCAGGACATCGCGGCACTGGCAGTGCGCGCCGTCCAGTGGCAGGGGCGGGAACCTCAGTCCGACCCAACCACTACAGGGTCCAAACAGGCCGAACAACGGTTAAGCCGTGCAAAAAAGTTGCCTTCCACGAACCTTTGGGCAGCACCTCCCGGTAACCCGCCAGCCAAAGCAGCCGGCGCGCTTTCCCCGCAGCCATGGACAGTGCCCGAGCCTGGCGCGGGCGATGCCTTTATCCGAGGCATCCAGAACAACAAGATCGACATGAAACGCGTGCGGGACGCCATCGCCGAGCAGTTCGGGCGTGTGCCTGAAGCGCTCGACCCTTACTTAGGCGAAGAACTGTACCAAGGCAAGGTTTCCGCGCGAGTCACCGAGCTGCACGAAAAGACAGTCGAGCCCATCCTCAAGAAGATCGCCATAGCAGGCAGCAATGCTGGCGTGACGCTGGATGATGTCAACCAGTACCTGCACGCCCGTCATGCACCCGAGCGCAATGCGGCAATGAAGGCGATCAATCCGAACATGCCCAACAATGACGCGCTGTCCGGAATGAGCGACGCCGACGCCGCCAGCGCGATGGCAGGCTTCCGCGCTTCGGGCAAAGATGCTGCACTGACGCAAATCGTGAAGGACATCGACCAGCTCAACGCCGACACCCGCAACGCTCTGGTGGCCGATGGCCTGGAGGACGCGGCGACGGTGCAGGCATGGGAGGCTGCATACAAGTTTTACGCTCCCCTGCAGCGCGATGTGAAATCCAGCGGCACCCCCAAGGGCATGGGCTTCAGTGTGCGCGGCCCGGAGTCCAAACGCGCTGTCGGTTCGAATAAGGACGTGGTCAACATCCTGGCCAACATCGTGGCTCAGGCGGAGACGGCAGCCATCAGGGCGGAGAAGGCCAAGGTCGGCCGCGCTCTGCTGGAAATGGCGAAGGCGTACCCGAACCCCAACTTCTGGACGGTGGACAAGGCGCCTACAAAGCCAAGGATTGACCCTCAGTCGGGGCTTGTCATCCGTGGCGCAGTGGATCCGCTGTACCAGACTGCCGACAACGTCCTGATGGTGAAGGACTATGGGACCGAGCATTTCATCGTGTTCAACAAGGAGAGCGAGCGCGCCATGCTGACGGCCCGCGCCATGAAGAACCTTGATGTTGCGCCGATGAACAAGATTCTGGAAATCGCCAGCAAAGGAACCCGCTTTATCGCGTCCCTGCTGACCCAGCGGAACCCGCTTTTCTGGATGACGAACTTTGCCCGAGACATTCAGGGCGCGCTCATCAATCTGGAGGGCACCGACGCTGAAGGCCTGCAGGCCAAGGTGCTGGGCAACCTCGGCAAGTCCTTCAAGGGCATGCATTCCATCGTGCGGGGCGACAGCACCGGGCAATGGGCTCGCTACGCCAAGGAAATGCAGGAGGCGGGCGGCACCACGGGTTACATGCAGCAGTTTGAAAACTCCGATGCCCGCATGAAGAACCTGCAGCGCGAGGTGGACAGGATGGCTCAGGGGACGGCTGACCCGCGCCGGCTGGGCCGCATGGTGCTGGAGTTTGTGGACGACTACAACGACATCATCGAGAACGCCGTCCGCCTGGCAGTGTTTCAAACCGCACGGCAGTCTGGGGCTTCGACCATGAAGGCCGCCAGCATCGCCAAAAACATCACGGTCAACTTCAACCGCAAAGGCAACCTCACGCCGCCGGTCAACGCGCTGTATATGTTCTTCAATGCGTCCGTACAGGGAACTGCTCGATTGACGCAGGCGCTGGTCACAAGCCCGAAGGCGCAGGCCTTGGTGGGCGGTGTGGCGATCATGGGCTTTCTGCTGGATGCACTAAACCGGGCCATGTCGGACGATGACGAAGAGACGGGCCGCAACCGATATGACCTGATCCCGGAATTCGAGAAGTCCAAGAACTGGATTTTCATGAACCCGATGCGACCAGGTGAATATGTGAAAGTGCCTTTGCCGCTTGGCCCTCACGTTTTCCACAATGCTGGCCGCCTTATCTCGGATGCCGTGTTTCGGAAGGACCCGCGCAACGCCAGCGAATACGGCTGGTCGATGGCAAGCACGGTACTCGACGCTTTCAGCCCGCTCGGTGCGACTGCTTCCGTCGGCCAGCTCATTGCTCCCTCGATTCTGGATCCCGTGGTGCAGATTGCGGAGAACAAGTCCTTTACCGGTGGCCCCGTGTACAAATCGAAAGAACAGGGCTTTGGCAAGATCGACCCCAAGCCCGCCTATACGCGCCACTTCGAGAGCACGCCGGACATATGGAAGGCTGCATCCAAAGGTCTGAACGACATCACCGGCGGCGACAAGGTGAAGCCGGGGCTTGTTAATGTGGAGCCTGACATCCTCAAGTCAGTTTTCTACACAATGACCGGCGGACCGGGGCGCACGCTAGACCAGGCGCTAGACGCCACCCAATCGCAAGCCCGCGGCGAAACGCCGAGTGTCAACCGCATACCCTTCGCCAGTCGCTTTTACGGGACCAATGATGACCGCCAGCGCGAGCGTGTTTACTACGATGACCGCAAGCGGGTGACAGACGCCAAGACGCAATTTGACTACTTCGTGAAGTCCGGCCGGCCCGAGCTGGCGCGCGAGATTGCCGAAGAGTTAGGAGAGGGCAATGCCGCGAAAGGCCGCAAGATGATGCTGGAATTCAAGACTGCGGCGAAGAACGTCACCGCCCTGAATAAGCAGATTCGCGCCGAGCTCGAGCAGCAAGAAAAGGGCGGCGACCGGGCGGAGCAAATCAAGGCACTCAGGGGCAGGCGCGTCAAGGTGATGGGTAGCGCCGTCAGGGACGAAAGAGACGACGAGTGACAAAAGTCCGCCGGTAGGGGCGTGCAGCTAAAGAATGGGCGAAGGAGGTTATTGCCCATGAAATTTGCCCTTGTCCCTAACTGGCGGAAGCTCTGGAAGTCCTGGAGCCTGCGCTTTGCCGCCCTTGGCCTGGCCGTGCCGGAAATCCTGCAATTGATCGCCGACAACACCGACGCATTCCCGATTGATGCTGGCTGGAAAAGCATCATCCGCACTGTGTTTCTGGTGCTTGTGATTTTGGCGCGTCCCGTCAAACAGGTGGCCGTCTCCGGCCCAGGTGGTCAGCCATGATCTTGAACACCCGCAGCGAAAACAACCTTGTTGGCGTTCACCCCCAACTGGTGAAGGTGGTCCGACGCGCAGCAGAGAAATGCACCGATGAGCATGGCTTTGTCGTGACGGAGGGCGTCCGCACGCTGGCAAAGCAGAAGGAATACTTCGCCGCCGGCAAGTCACAGACTATGCGGACTCGACACCTTACCGGCCATGCCGTGGACCTGGCCGTGTGGGAGGACCGCGACCTCGACAAGGTTGTGGATGCCGATGAAATCTCATGGAAGTTTCCTGCCTACAAAGCACTGGCCGACCTGATGAAGGAAGCGGCTGCAGAGCTTGGCATCCCGCTTGAATGGGGCGGCGACTGGGTCAGCTTCAAGGACGGTCCGCATTTTCAACTTCCATGGACGGCCTACCCATGAAGCTGTTCGACATCATCCCGGCGCCGGTCCGCTGGCTTGCCCTGCTGGTGGTGGGGCTGGCGCTTCTGGCCTTTGGCTGGGTGCAGGGCGCGAACCATGAACAGGGACAACAGGCAATCCGCGACATGAAGGCAGTCGCAGTCAACACTGGTATCACTGCCCGCTGGGCGAAGGGGAAAGACGATGCACTCAAAAATGCAAATGACAGGGCGCAAATCAATGATGCTGCTGGCGATCTGCTTGCCGCTGATCTTGTCAGCGTGCGCGACGAACTCGCCGCCGAGCGGGCCAAGTTGCCCGGCGCCTCCCTCACCTCCTGTCGCGCGCACGCCGCAACCCTCAACGTCATATTTGGAGAGTGTGCGGCTGCAAGCGGAGGACTGGCGAAAGAGGCTGCGGGCCACGCCTCTGATTCCTTGATGTTTCAGGAGGCTTGGCCTCGTTAACTGTATGAATATACAGTGTTTGGGATACAATCGGCGTTTCCGATTCTCTGATCGCTATTTTGGAAGTACATTCCGTTGCGAGGGAGACAACGAAATGTTAAGAAAACCGGTAACGATCCACTATAGAAAACTTCAACGAGTGCCCGAGTACGGGGAGCAGTCTTTGGAGGCGCTAATTTGCGGCGCAATGAATCACGCTTACGAGGGTGTGCGGGTTCGAGATAGATACACCTTGCGTGTTCTGCAATCGGGCGAATCTAGCTTTTTTGCGAACTGTTTTGGCGATAAGGCGGCCGATGACGAGCCACTGGCTTTTGGTGATGTTCTTCATTACACCAAAGGTCATCTGCAGGCGCTCATTGATCGAGGCGATCCTAATTTAGCCGTGGTGCCAGTGAAGCAGTTGCCTGCGGATGGCGAGCGAGATTACATCCACTCTCAAATGTTTTGGATGGTTAAAGGGGATCATGTATTTGTGATCCAGAGTACTTCTCTTCAGACTGAGGCGCTTGAGCGTTATCTAAAGTGGCTTATTTCGGAGAAAGTGCCTTTGGTCGGTAAGGACGCCCAGATGGTCCTTGCTATGAAGTTCGATGAAGAAGCAATCGGCGGGGATTTGGGAGACATTACTGAGCTAGTTATCGGCGGAGTTGCTACAGCACCCCCGATGGTCCCGAATCACGCGGCGGATGCGCCGCAAATGGTTAGAGAGGTTGTCCAGGCAGGCCAAGTTGGCGCCGGTCATGAGGCCGAAAGGGGCCATGTGAAGGAAATCCTCAGAGCGCTATTGGGTGGTGAGGCAGAAGTTGACCGGGTCATGAAATCTGTACCCGCAGATGCTGAGTTGCGGGTAGATGTGCACATTGGCTACAAGACCAAAAAACGCAAGGTGGACCGTGCTAGCTTGCGACAGTTGGAAGCAGGATTGCGTAACTTGCCGGATAGCCAGCTCGCGGTGAAGACCAAGGGCTCACAGAAAGCGGCTGACGGGAAGGTTCGCCTTCATTACCCAGCAGCCGTCAGGTTGTTGAGTTTGAAGCAGGAGGAAAAGGAACTTGTCGGCTCATTGCTGGATCCTGCAGACGTTTTAAGGGCCATGTACGAGGCCTACAACAGTTTTGTAAACAACGGCAAAATTGCTCCGTAATGAATCGAGTTAGTCATCTTTTAACTTTGCTTGCAGCTGTAGCGGCCCTTGTGTGGATGCCGTTAAGTTCGCTCGTCGAAATAAAGGAGGGATTGATAGCGTTTCTCGGATTTGTATCTGCGGCGGTCATCCAGGTGATACCGGTGACGGCAAACTTTTTACAGGGTGATGATCTGTCGCCCATGGAAACAAGCCGGCTCAATGATCAGTTAGAGCGCCAACAAAAATATTGGCTTGGCCTTTTGGGGGCTGCTGCTTTCACATTGGTCCTTGTCATCGCAATTTCACCGCTTGGGGAGGTTGAGACGCCAAGTTTTCCCGCCATCGGTTGGCCGAATTTTGTCAGTTGTTTTGTTATAGCGTGTGTGGCATTTGTAATCTCGCGCATGGCATTCCTTTTCACCGGCATTCTCAGTCTGCATAGGCTGAGAGCGGCTTTACTTTTGGAAGCTGCACAGCGGCGCGCTGATAAGAAGACGGCCGAAACAATGATGAAGGCCGGGACCTCTACTGCCGTTCCGGTTGATCTACCCTCAGGATACGGAGAGATTCTGCGTCACTGAATTTCGATATGCGAATCGCTGGCTGAGACGGAAAGTGGCTAGAAGCTCCAAGCCTTCTGGTCGCCTTCTAAATGCACCGCTTGCGCACCGCTTTTACTAATGCGAATGCCCGTAATGAACTCGGGATCAAGATGACATACCCCGTCGAATATCGAGGGCTGGCATCGTACCGTAAGGGCTGCATTACGGAAGCGTCTTCGTAAGGACTCCACCGCCAACTTCAGATGTGCGGCCAAATCCTGAGCCTGCCAGTGAAAGCGCCTTAACAGGATCACATAGGCAGTTGCCTGTGAATAGCTTTGCAGCAATGCCGTCACCACCTCATCGCCGGCTTCTGTCTGGGTCAGCGACACAAGTGGATCTGAAGATTCTGGCGCCGCCAGCAGCCTCGCAAGCGTAGCGCCGGCAGACTTGCTTTCGTCTTTGTCCCAGTCCGTATCGAGCTTGACGGCGAACTTCACCGTCTTGTCGGCAAACCTTACGAAGTGGTTGTATAGGCGGCCCAGAAGTGTTTCCTGGTCGGCGAGGTCGTTGAAGTCAAACGG